ATTCATGGCAATGAAAGAAAAAAAATCATATCACAGTGTACACCTCATTTATATAACTTGAAAGTCATGCACTAGATCTTTTATCTATGAAATCGTGCAATCGAGGTCAATATGTTAGCATTAAATAAAGTACAACTAGAGCAAAGCTCTTTGTTGGAGCAAACAGGTCTTCCGTTAAATTCAGCATAGAAAATGAGAAACGCAAATTAAGATGTAAAAAAAAAGAACACAATTTTAAAGAATATTCAAATTATAATGATGTTAATTAAAAGAGGTCACTGGTAACTACTTCAAGTGACCTCAATCGACGAAAAATAAAGTCGGTGGTCTCAAATGACTTAACCTATTCAATTCCGTGCCAATACCTACAAAAATACGCATTTTCTGACTACTTCCGGTTTGAACTGAGGTAACGTCGATCAACGGAAAATGACCCAATAACATGTCCAAGACTGCAAAAAATATGTATTTTTGACTACTTGAATCTTTCCTGGTCCAGTGGTTCTTGAGACGAAAATTTTTTAATGACCTCACGCTATTTTCGCCTTTACTTGATTATCTCCATTTGGAAGAAGGGTCTTTCAGCTCAGGTGAGCTAAAAAGGGCAAGGTTTGTTGGGAAATGGGCAAGGTGTAGAAAATTTTCTGATCAATGACATCGAGACAAAAATCAATACTTTAATTGAGGAACCAAGCGGACAAAGGTGGATGGATGCAATGGATAATGGCCTGGTTGCAAATGATCAAGAAAAAATAATAGAAATAATAAACAGGATGTATTTATGAAATTTTACATGGTTTTTATTTTACACAATATAGATGAATATATCTTATGGGCATATTTAGCTAAAGATGCGAATTGTAGCTTATAAATAGTCCATAGTTAATGTCCTGTCAAGCAAAGCAAAAACATCAAATATGCAAGGATCGAAATTAAACTATGATTTTATTCAGTCATAAATAGTATACATAATATACATTAAACATGAAATTTATGGAGAGAACGAACAGTATACAAGCAAAAATGTCCATTCAAATTATACAAATCAGGAGCCGAGTTAACAAGGACCTCTAAAATATCACAGGTGGGATCAGGCCTGGGGGCCATAAAACATAGACAAGCACACTTTTGATCTCAGTCTCACTATTTTCAAAGGAATTAATAGAAGAAAAGTGAGACTGAGATCAAAAGTAAGCTCATCTAAGTTTTATGGCCCCCAGGCCTGATGCCATAGTGGAGAGTAAGCATCGCCTGCCGAGCGATCTCACCCGGCGTGTGCTTCTTATTTTGATCGAAATCCGAGAGTTTTCGATTGAATATCTCGAGTTTCTATCCCTGGCTTGTAGACTTAAAAAGAATGACACCTTTTCATACAGGACATCTGTCTAAGAATGTGATATCGATGCAACATAATCCGTTTTCGTTTTAAATCGACAACTGATCAGCGCGTTTGATCCAAGTCATTTTTTTTCTTCGAAAAGTATGATGGTCTCCATGTTTTGGTTTTTTTTCTTTCTAAATTTGACATTCTTTTAAAAAAGCACATGCATATGATTAGTGGAGAGATGACACAGAGGAAATATATATCAGGTATAAAAAGTGTTTTTGATTTGTAACAATTTGTATCAAATGACTCATCTACCCATATTTTAAGGCATACATGTATAGTGGAAATGCAAGGGAAAATATTTACTTTCAACAGTCGCAGAAACTTGAAACCCAATATTTTATGAGAATGTTAAATTAAAATATCATTTAAAGGTTTAATAAAATTTACTTAAAAAAATAAGTTTGTAGTAAGGAAGGGCGTCAGCTGTAGTCAGACACTGTATGCAAAATTAAAATAAATGTATACAGAGCAAATTTAATTTTGAGTGTATCGAGAGTAAATTTTCGGTTCATTCGGTTATATGTCAGCATAAAGTCTGCATGTAGTAATTACAGATGATTACTAATTACAGATTTATGATGATTGGTACTAAAATTAATCGACTCTCAGTTATATAATAAAGAAGATTGGCCCGGAATGTGATGAGATTTCAAATTAACGTTACGTTGGTGGGTCGTAAAATCAAAGTTGTGTTTGATATTTTTTCCGTGATTAGCTATCGTAACCGTGTTTTTGGCTTTTCCGGAGATGGCTTATTTTAAAATAGTATTCATGTACATAATCTGAGCCATATTGACATATTCTGTCAGTAAAATGAAAGACACATCTAGAAAGAAGACTAAAAACTGGAAAAAAGGGTCTTAATAAAAGCATTTTATTAAAGTGCTTAATGGTCACTGAACGATTTCAAAGAAATGCCGTAATAATTTTTTTCATTTGTGATTTGTATCGTTTTTAAGCGTTACTGTTACTAGAGCGAATTTTCCAGGTCAATTGAATTTTGCAGTTGCAACATAAGTTATAAACGACAAAGAATTGAAAACACGTATTTAGAACCATTAATGCAATATAACAGAAAGGTTTGATCTGGCAGATCACGTCACCTACCCGACCAGAGATATATATGTTTTTTAGCTAGCACAACTTGGTTGGTTTTGTGTATATGTTGATAAATGTATTTAAAATTGATTATTATTCTGTTTGATTTTTCATCTTTCTGATGTTACTAATTGGATACCACCAAGAACACGACATTTATTAACGCAGTCTGAATTCAACTACCTTAAATTGTGAAGTATATATTGTTTTCTGTTTTTATTATCATAGAGAATTATTAAACAAATTGTTTTACAAAGCGTCTATACTTCTGGGGACCTTGAAGGTATGCATAGGATATCTAATGACTCAAAGAATGAAAAAAAAAATAAGGGCTTGTTGTCTAACAGAATCTTTTCAGTTTGCTTTGATGATTTCACTTAAAGGGAAATTTGGCTTCAGTTAAGACATACTTTTTTTCTTCAAAAGACACCATATGAGTGTTTGAAGAAAAAACAGCAGAAGCAATAATCATGTTACTTTTCAGTGATTCGTTTGGAAAAAACTTCTTCGTTTCCTATTTCATTGAAAATCCTTTGCAGATGAATAGAAAAATTTTAGTATTGTTTGAAAAATTAAAAAAGGAAAAGGACCTCATGTACACTAAATATTTCCTATTAAAATTCAATGAGCTAAAAATAAAGAGAAATCCTAATTATTTGCACTCAGGGACTTTGAGCTTTTGAATTATTCATATTCCCATTACCTATGAAAATTATTCAGAAAATATTCAGCTATTTATCTATAAAGCATTAACTTTCCTATTTTGAACTCGAATACATTTTCGATTCCATGTGAAGTGGGACATTTTAGTTCATTAACCACAAGACAGTAATTAACATAGCACAATGCAGGATGCCGTCTTAAACTAATCACCTTTAACGTTGTGTTTTTTACCAGATCAATGGATGGTGCAAATGGCTTGAAGCAGGACACAAGACAACAAACACTTGAATTCGATAAATTTCCTATAATCGGTAGCAATCTAGGAAATGCTGCTGAAATAAATGTCTTTTTCCAAGAGATCTTTCTTTTTTATTCTCGTGGCTTAATCCTTTAATCAAGATATTGAATGAAGATTTATGTCCTGATTATTGAAATCCTTTATTTGTTTTTTAGAATGCTCAAATAAAATCGAATATTTACATTGGCTAAACGACACGCAACGATATCACGACTTCGACGAGAGTGCAAAGGGACATAACTTTGGTTTCTAACTATGTTTTTTTAAATTAATGTAATATAACCTATGCTTTTGCAAAGTTGTGAGATATATATAACTTATATTATTTTGTGGTAAACATGTATCAGTATCTATGTTCCAAAAACAAAATCAACAACATATAGTTTGAAGCCTTTTAGATATGAATCCGCAAAACTTCTGAATTCTTATGCAAAATCATTTAGAAATATTACTGCTAATTCAAATCAAATATAAGAAATTGCTGAGCTTGTCGCTAATTTTTAATTCAGATACTAGAAAATGGTCTTGATTGGATGAATACTATGTTGTATGTCCTTATTATGCATGTTGGAGGTATATTGATATTTAAGTGGTGTGACATTTTAAGTACTGTTTCTTGTTTTTTTTCTATATTGTTGTTTATATGAAAGATTATTATGAATGTAGTCGTGAAAAAGCTTACCTCTTCAGCACGTATGCTTAAAAAGAATTTCATCAGCATATTATTATATAAATATGTATTATATTCTACTACATTGTTTTTTCCTTTCAAAAAAGATAATTATATTCCTTTCAAAAAAGATAATTATATTGTGGAGTCTAGTATTTGTTCAATGGATTCCAATCATTTAGATATTTTTTTTGAAAAAGACGTTAATGGTATTCAAACAACCAAGATTAATGACAAAATCGAGATGACTGACTATTCAATCGTTAACTTCCCTTACTTATGCACAAATATACCTTCATCTCCTGCTTATACGGGGTTTATCTCATTCACAGTTGATTCGATACGCAGGAGCATGCTCTACATATTAACAATTTTTAAACGAGGTAAGTTATTGACAGACAAGTTGCTGAAGCAAGAATATCTGCAGTCTCGTTTCAAGTCATAATTTCGTTAGTACTTTGGTCGACCTTGTCAGCAAATACAATTTATCATTGAGTCAAAATAATGCTGACTGGCGTTTTTCATACTAATTGTTAGGCCATTATATACACACTGAATTGTACACGAATTTTTCCGTTATTTCCCAATCATGACAAGGAGCACACGGCGGATATGACCGGTCGGCAGAGGACGCTCACTCCTCCATGGCACCTGATTTCTCCTCTGATGTTAGGAGGCCTGTGTTTGCTCTTTTCCTATTTTGTATTGACTTTTGAGCTAGAATATAATACTGTTCGTTATTCTCTATATTTCATTCAAGTAAGCTTCTATCCCTACTCCTCTCCAAAATATTCACCCCAAGTTAAAATATTAACTGCTGAGAAGAACTTAGCCAATATATATTCAAGAAGTGATGTTTATGAATTTTTCTACGCATTATA